AACACTGCAAGAAGAACATCTTCCGATAAGGCTTGGTTCAGTAGAAACTGCTCTAGAGCTGTCGCTTCCAAACAGGCATAATTCCATCGAGGGTAGGATACTCCAGACCCTGACACTAGAGCAGAATATGTCGAGGCTAGAGGCATATGCAATGAGACAATTCGATCATCAAAGGATGCGTATAATGCCAAAATAAGATCAAAACTTGTCGCATGTCCTAACGGATCCCGTTCATTTTGGTCCTTCGCCAAAGCTGTAGGAAGAAACTTCACTTCCAGCTCGTTTCCTCCTCTAACAAAGGAAGATGGAACAGTAGCCACAACTGCCCAGGAGAAAGGCAACATTTTTGCGCATTTATTTGCTGGAAATACGACTCTTGATTCATCGGGAAAACAACCTCCAAACATACCGCCAATTGACAGTCATATGCCCGAGATCACCTATCGCCAACGTACTATAAGGAATATTTTATTGGGTCTCAACACCAACAAAGCTTGTGGCTCTGACGGAATCCCACCGATTGTTCTCAAGAAATGTGCTCCCGAACTAACACCTGTTCTCTACAAGTTGTTCAACTACTCTTACAAATTGGGGATATTCCCGTCCAACTGGAAAATTGCAAGAGTACAACCAGTTCCTAAAAAAGGCAAAAAGACCCTACCTAGCAAATACAGACCGATTGCACTGCTATCTATTATTTCAAAGATCATAGAGAAAGCTATCAACATCGAACTTATGAAATACCTGGAACATTCAGGTATTATCAACGATAGGCAATATGGTTTCCGTCATCAGAGATCAACTGGTGACCTGCTCGCTTACGTCTCACATATATGGCAGCAATCTATTGAAAAATATGGTGGAACCTTAGCCGTGGCACTTGATATCTCCAAGGCATTTGAACGAGTCTGGCACCACGGACTCCTCGCCAAGCTTACATCTTATGGCTTGTCTCCCCAGCTATGTTCTCTGCTAGCTAGTTTTCTCTCAAACAGGTCACTCCATATAGTGGTCGACGGAGTTTCATCTGACTCTCTTATCATAAATGCTGGTGTTCCGCAAGGATCAATTCTAGCTCCAACACTATTTCTACTCCATATCAACGATTTGTTAGAAGCAACCTCATGTCCAGTACACAGCTTCGCGGATGATAGTACCCTCCATACCGGCTTCTCTTCCAAGGCTCCAATACCAGCCAGGCAAATCAGAAACGAACGAGGAAGAAATGTTGACAACATAAATATGGACTTGGCAACAATTCTCGAATGAGGATCTAATAACTTGGTAGATTTCAATGCAAACAAAACACAAGCATGCCTTTTCTCTAGAAAAACCGATCTTACTGTACCCAACATAACCTTTCAGGAGTAACCATACCTTTGAAGACATCCATTTCGATGCTTGGTATTACTATCAGCAAAAAACGTTCTTGGTAAAATCATGTGAGATCAATTGCTAAAAGTGCATCCCAAAAACTTGGTTTTCTGTTTCGGGCCAGGAGCTATTTCATTTCCAGTCAGCTGCGTATGATCTATAAGGCACAGATCCGACCTGTCCTGGAATGCTGTTCCCATATTTGGAGTGCAGCACCCAAACATATCCTGAAACTGTTGTATTCTGTCAAAAAAAGGGCAATTTGTCTCGTGGGTGATGCCTCGCTCACAAACTCATTCACTTCTCTGGAACACCGTAAAAAATTTGGCGATCTGGCTCTTATTTATAGATATTTTCATGGAAGATACTCTTCTGGAATATCAACAATTGTTCCTTCCTTGGCAGTCCCCGCGAGATCAACCCGTCGAGTTGAGGCTTTGCACCACTTTGACAACATTGTATTTTAACGAACGGCACCTGTGCTGATCAATATCCTGAGGAGAATGATTGCAAAATTGTACTTTCCTGTGCGATAATTCACACCAAATTCCGCGATTTGACAACGAGATAAGCATTATTTCATCCAATACCCATTGAATGGTAGATCTCAAAAACCCTACCTGTGCCACCCCTCAATATGAGTCAATTTAATGGCACGTCATGTGATAACGAGTTGAAACAAATAGCAAATAAAAGGGGATAATCTCCCCTTTGCGGATACCCCAACGTGCCGCGATTCGAATTGGTCGAAGTCATTGGTAGATTGTTTATATTTCCGAGGATATTTCGCCCCTGTCGAAAGATAATATCCGATGGACCAGTGCAAAACACATGTTGTGTCGCACAACAAGTATTCAAATCTACATGATGAGTTTAACACAGGTCCTTCGGATATTATGTTCCGACATGCGCGAAATATTCTCGGAAATATTGACATTATGGATATTCGCAAAGGGGTCATTATCCCCTTTTATTTGCTTTTTGTTTCAACTCGTTATCACATGACGGAAGTATATCCGGAATAACGGCAGCAAATAAATCGATGTGCCGATGATTTGCCTGAGATTAAGGGGTGGCACAGGTAGTGTTTTGAGATCTACAATTTAATCGTTATCGAATGGCGTAATTCTCATCGAAATCAATAGGCATTCAGGAAAGAATCACTTGTACCAGTATTCGTTTATACGAGTCGATGCATAGATTTCTGGAGGATGTAATTCAATGTTCTGCGTGGCATTAGCCAGGAAAGTAGTTGTTTTTCTCCCGAAAAATACCATTGTTGTTTATTTTATGAACATTGTGTGGAAATGACATTGAGCTTTTCGTATTTATTTAATATTTCATTGTACTTTGTAGTTGATATATCATTTTGTTATCAGATGACGGTCGAAATTTGCAGCCAGTAGATTGTTTTATTAGGATCGAAAGTGACACTTTGATTGACAAGCGAATTTTGCATTTGCGCGGCGGAGCGTTTAGCGAAGCCGAGCGAAAGCAAAATTTGCGAAACCTTAGCCGTGGCACTTGATATCTCCAAAGCATCCGATTTAGTCTGGCACCACGGACTCCTCGCCAAGCTTCCATCTCATGGCTTGCCTCCCCAGCTATGTTCTCTGCTAGCTAGTTTTCTCTGAAACAGGTCTCTCCATGTAGTGGCCGACGGAGTTTCATCTGACTCTCTTAGCATAAATGCTGGTGGTCCGCAAGGATCAATTCTAGCACCAATAACACTATTTCTACTCCATATCAACGATTTGTTGGAAGCAACTATAATGTCCAGTACACAGCTTCGCGGATGATAGTACCCTCCATACCGCCTTCTCTTCCAGGGATCCAATACCAGCTAGGCAAATCAGAAACGAACGAGGAAGAAGCATGATTTTTCTCTAGAAAAGCCGATCTCACTGTGCCAAACATAAGCATGTCAGGAGTAACCATACCATTGAATACATCCATTTCGATGCTTGGTACCACTATCAGCAATAACCTTTCTTAGGAAAATCACGAGAGATCAATTGCTGAAAGTGCATCCCAAAAACTTGGTTTTCTGTTTCGGGCCAGGAGCTATTTCACTTCCAGTCAGCTGCTTATGATCTATAAGGCACAGATCCGACCTGTCCTGGAATACTGTTCCCATATTTGGAGTGCGGCACCCAAACATACCCTGAAACTGTTGGATTCTGTAACAATTCGTCTCGTGGGTGTTGCCTCACTCACTTCTCTGGAACACCGTAGAAAAGTTGGTGAGCTGGCTCTATATTATAGATATTTTCATGGACGATGCTCTACTGAATTAACAACAATTGTACCTCCCTTGGCAGTCCCCGCGAGATTAACCCGTCGAGTTGAGGCTTCGCACCCCTTCGTGGTCACTTTGGAGACCTACAGAACATCTCTTCCCAAAGACTCGTTCATCCAACGAACAGCGAGGCTCTGGAACACATTACCAAGGGAGGTGTTTCCCGAGGCATATAACCTCCAGAAATTTAAGAAGAACACCAATTCCTACCTCATTTCCCTTAGTTCTCACGATGTTCTCTGAACATCACAGGATAACCCTTTTCGTGGGAACCAGAACATAAAAATAAAAACAAAGTGACATATTTGTGTATGGACCAGGTGCCCTAATGGCAAATACCGCGCCAGTGCCAGTTATATGAACAAGTCGTGGAAAATGTTAGATTAGTGAGCATATCAACAATAATAATAGCGATTATTTATTCTACTCCATATTATGTTGTGTTTGGAGGTAAACAATATCGTTGTTTGAGACAATAAACAATTGCTTCTCGTGATTATTCAAAAACAAGTTATCTATCCCGAGAATATATATAAAGAATGGAATACAGATCAAGCAAGTATGTGAATCTTGAAGGCTTTCCTGATCAAAACAAAAATACTCAACTGAGATATGTTTATAATTCCTATACTTAACTATAATAAGGTGTATTTATATCTCCAGCATTGGTATAAGAAGTGCCAAATCTGCCGAAATCGGAAACAAATCAGGTATATGCGTCCCAACCCAAATAACCAACCGTAACTAGAGAGTTGAAGTGTTGTCATGAACGTTAATGTAAACGTAGAAATTGACAGCTACGCATGCGCATTTTCCAATTCTTCACGTTTGCGTTGTTAGTGGGCTTACGGGTGTACGTTATCTCACGTTCCTTCACGTATACCTTAAATATCAACGTACGTTAACCAAACTATACTCGAAATATGCCGATGAGTCAAAATTATCAAATTCGAGATCACCAACGAGTTCTGCATCAAGGAGTCCTCTAATTTTGACAGGAATAAATGTTCGAATCTAAACACACAACCAAAAATGACCAATACAAACGGAAAACAAAATGTATTATTACGTTATGATGACAGTGACGACCAAAGTGGCGACTTCAACTCAATTTAACGACACGTTGTTTATTGTTCATGACGTCTAGCGTCTAGTACATCCTTCTTAGCTCCTATAGGAACTGAATATGTTGCCGAGCAACATACCCATTTTTGTGTCAGTAATAGAAACGTCATTTCAAGAGCTGATTTTGGTATTAAAATAGATGATTTTTGTGTCGGTTGCAGAAAAAAACTGTTTCAATACACACGGGTTCTGTTTTTTCCAGAAGCCCAGACTATACACTAGATGTTCCACAGCCGCCTCGCCATGTCCTCAGTCCTGCTCCTTTCCATTCTGGGCGCTTCTGGCACTCAGCACTGCCCCATGTGGCGCGAAATAGCCCCCTGCACGTGCAGACTTGACTCCTACAAAATCACGTCGATCGCTTGCGACAACATGACGTCATTCGAGCAGGTGGAGAGTTTGCTGAGGGGGCGCTTCCATCCGATGGACAGGGTGTCGCTCAGATTGGCAGCTTCGAATATGAGGGATCTCGAATACAGGGCGTTCAAGGAACTCAACATGACCATCGAGAATTTGAAGCTGAACCGAGATTATATCGGGTGAGTCGAAGATACGAAATGAATAAGGATTTTTTTATTTATGCTTCAGTTCGCGAATAGTTATTTATATCTCGCCTGATTGCTAGCCTCGGCTATCAATTTGCAGACTCAATAATAGACAGTTTTTCGCCGAGGTGCATATTAGGGTTTTTTCGTCGACCTCAAACACTTATATCCACTTCACGGTCCTATTATTCACACGTGAAATCTATCGAATTTTGTGAATAATTAATTTGACAACAGCAAATGACAGTTGTTGTCAACTCATTCTCCGCGCGGACCAGTGTTGCCAGTTCGATTTTCTTTTCATCAGTTTATACCTTGTCAATCAAAAATTCAGATCTATTTTATGCTATACGAATTCCAAGAAACGATAATGAACCTAGTAAACAGAAAAGTAACCTATTTCCAACAGAATAGAAACAAATAAAACAAATCCTCTCCTAAAAAATAATCATATTCCTATTGAAAAGGAACATTCTCAGATATATTTATGAACACAAAAAAAATTGAGTTATATATAAAGAAATACATTGAGAATTCGCATTCTCCATGTGATGGAAATATCAATTCTTTCACGGTTTATTCAACAGAAAACAACTACTTTCCTGGCTATATGCCACGACGAATATTGGATTACTTCTATTGAACACACACGATGAGAATTTGAATAAACCGTGAAATAATTGATATTTTCATCACATGGAGAATGCGAATTCTCAATGTATTTCTTTATATGTATATCCATTTTTTTGTGTTCATAAATATATCTGAGAATGTTCCTTTTCAATACTTTCACCCAATCAAGGGGTTCAAACTTGAACGATGGAAAATTGTTATTTTTATAGACCTCAATCGCAGATTCATGATTAGGTTTTTCTCAATTCAGAATTTCTTTCCACGTCCTGTATGATGAATGTCAATTCATCATACATTCAAAAAAATCATATTCCTAATTCTCGATTTAAAAATACTCACAAATATAACAAAATACAGTTACATAGGTACTTATAAGATTTCAGTACATAAAAAACAGGCTAAACAGATAGTAAAAATGAACAACAAAAATATAAAACAAATAAAAAAATTAAACGTGAGAAATAAACTGTTGAGTATAACAAAGGTAAAAAAAGAATTGACTTTAATCTGAATCAGATAAATATTGTTGAATACTGTCTGTAGGTTAATCGAGGAGGTGGTACATTCATAATTCCAGATTTTTTGGGATTTTCTCTTCTCGTTTCTATAAAATAAAAATATGAATATTATTTCAATAAACGTGTAGTAAGGACAAATCAGATGATTTGCCCGTCAAATGTCATGCGTTTAAAGAATTTTCCTATCAGAGAGCCTAAAAGAAAAATGTACTAGCTTGTCAGTGACAATTTGTATTGAAAAAGGTTTGGAGAAGAGAAATACTTAAAGGTATATAGAAAAAATATGAAATTTTCAGATTCGGTCCCGAAACGTCCAAAGCTAAGTGTATATGATTTACTAAACATTAATGACAATGAAGACAATTATAATAATGAATAAGTATCGAAATATTTTTCAGTTTAGGTTATGAAATGTTTCAGTAGATCAGTAGATCAATATGCAAATCGGGAGATCAACTAAAAATTCAGTTTGCTGACAAAAAGTTAGTGTCTGTGGACGAAAAGTACGTGCCTTCGGAAATAGTCGGTTTTTCGTTCGGAAATTAGAAAGTAAAATGACACATACTGTTAATAAAATAGTTATTTATGCAACAAGTGCAATAAACAATTTTTGCACGAGTTTCATACAACATTTTTTCTACGTTCATGCAAAAATCAAAAAATGATTTATTGAGGTGCGGCACTAGGTACAATTCTGTTAATTGTCAGAATTAATTTTTGACTGACGTTTCTATAACCACAGTTGCAATAGGTCGCGTGCACGAAGACCGACCCTGGAGGCAAAATATTGAAACACAACCTCATTCTTCTGTGAATTATTGAAACACAACCTCACTTTTTTATTTGGTTACAGAGGAATCAAAAGGTTGAAATAGTTTTTCACAATATTTTGGCATACGAATCGTGTTTCTTGCGTTATTCATTAATTCAAGCATGCCTTCGCATTGTGCTGTTGTACAATGCACAAAAAATGCAGCAAGAGACTAGGGAATATGATTTTTCAGGTAAATAGTAATCTCACATAGTTAGCATTATGAAATGTTGTCATTCCTCATTAAAATTCCTTCTGCATTCTGCCACTTCTGCAATACAAGCTAATGCTGCTAATAGATTGAAAATGTCTACAACACACACGATCGTCAGCATGTCAGACCAGTCCTACCGATTGATTGCATGAATCCAATCTTCTTGCATTATTCTAGAAATTTCAGGTATATTTCTATTATTAGCTGATCCTATTGCAGAAGGAATTCCGATGAGAAATCAGAGAAATAACCAAATTTCAAAAATGAAAACTATGTGAGTGACTATAGTAGGTACTTACTTTTGAATCATAATGTACCATCCGGATTTCTTCACCTTCCGCTGCAGTTTTTGTGCATTTATAAAAGCACAATGTGATGGCATTAGCGAATTGATGAATAGCGGAAAAATACGATTCATATGCCAAAATAATTGTGGAAAACTATTTCGATCACTTGTAAACAAATATGTTTTGCCTCCAGGGTCGGTCATCTGACAGTTCTTGCACGCGACCTATATAAAAAATGTTTGTCATGATGACAGCACGTTGAAGTAGAATGACAGATGAGTGCAATAAAAACTTCATTGCACTAAGTGCATCAATAAAGAACTTCTTTTTCCACTAAATATAGTTCAATAAAGTTCTGCTTTTTGCATGAATGTAGAAAAACACAATTAAGAATAAACTCTCTAGCTTATTGTTATCAATGTTATTCCAGGGGGGGATTCTACATGATAAAATAAGGAATTCATTTTTTATTTACGTGGGTCCGGAAATGCATAGTTTTCAACATACAGTGTTTTAAAACTTTTTAAAGAGATCGGTTTTTTATGAATATCTCAAATGTAATTCCACCGATTTTCGTGAAATTTGGTAATGATATTTTTCGTCATGACGGGCTGATATACTGATAATTCAATTGGACTTATGAAATCCAGTGGCGTCCCGGGGGCAACCTATACCGAATATTATTGTCAATAAAGTGTGCACCACTGATTTTTTCGAATTCTATATCTTCATAACCTATTGACCAACTAAAAATAGAACATTTTGGTCTCCTGAACTGTGAACTGTTCTGATAATTTGCTTCATTTCTATGCGGAAAAAAATAAATACCAATTTATATCATAAATTTGTGCCAACAAATTTCTTCGAAAACTGGGGTGAAAATGAATGCGTGACGAGATGCGTGATCAATGTCCATAGACATAGAATGAGTATGAAGATTCATTTTCTTCAAATATTTCTTGATACATGTTTGACACACTCAACACTCTGTATATTGAGGACTATGTATTCTTGGTCCAGGAGGGCGTAGTTTTTGATAATACAAAGTGTGTCAAACATGTATCATAAAATATTTGACGAAAATGAATCTTTATTCTTATTTTACGTCTATGGACATGGATCACACATTTAATTTCACCCCTGTTTTTGAAGCAATGTTTTGGACAAATTTATACAATGAATTGGTATTTACGCAGCAAAATAGCAAAACAATTCAGGAGTCTAAAATGATGTATTTTCAGTTAATCATTAGGATATAAAGAAATTGAATTCAAAAAAATCAGTGGTCCACATTTTATTGACAATAATACTCGGTAGGGTGCCCCCTGGACGCCACTGGATTTCACAATTTCAATTTGATTATGGCTTAATCCTTCCCTCATGACGAAGAATATAATTGCCAAATTTCAAGAGAATCGGTGGAAGGATATTTGAGACATTCATAAAAAAACGATTTTTTCTAAAAAGTTTAACACACTGTATCATGAAAACTATGCATTTCCGGACCCAAGAATATATGAAATAAATTTCATGTTTTCTCATGCAGAATCGCCCTCTTGATTTTTTGCGCACAATTTCCGGACACCCTGTAGGTGTATGTATTGGTGAGTACCTAAACTGGAAAGTACTTTACTAGAAGGGATTTGGAACTGAATGTCATGAATATCTGCAATGTTATTCAATACAAAATGAAATTTCACCTTTGAATTACCCACCTACAAATATATTATATCAATCATCTAAATAATAATTATGCAATGCAATTTTTCAGTACCACGAATTTCCAAGTAGGTAGGTATTATTGTGTTATCTAACAGCATCTGTATTATTTGCTGAAATGAAAAATTTGAGAAATGACTATCCGACTAATCATAGCATTCTGTCCAAATTAGCATAAACGCCAAGCCCATTGTGCATTTTATTGGCACCCGCAAGAAACTAATCCAAATTGCTCGCGCAATGACGTCACACGTTTCGCGGCCATGTCCGATCGTTTGAATTCGCTCGTTCATTTTGTCGTCTTAAATAATTTATTATACGATCAATGATGAAAAGAAATCTCAAAAAGATATTTAAAGTTATTCCAGATTCATATATTTCGATATACATATAGTGTGTGCGATTTCAACCCGCAACACCCTCCTAATTCGGAACCCTTCGACCGATTTTCAGAAACAAAAATTCCATAATATGCTACTCAACGAGCTCTATTCGAAAATGTGGACAAATTTGAAATATTCAGATTTTCAAGGCCTACTTCTGTATTGTAATGATATTCCCCTTAGAGGGGTTCTAGAAACATCAGCAGGAAGGCAGGAGTACAACGATCATCCTGTAACACGCATCCCAGACTGTTCTCCAAGCTCTCAATGATTCCTACATGCACCAGCATATTTCCGAACACTCAATATATGCCGCGGTGACAAATAACGTGTCAGAAGATTCTGGAATGTTCTGGAAACAATCGATGGAACAATTAGAGAGACGCTTCTAGAACAAAAAGAAGGAGGCGGAAGATCATACTAGCCGAG